GACAGGGCAAGAATTAACTCATCCACTTCATGCAGTGTTTTTCTCAATAGTAAGGAGGTATGTGGACACTGGAAATATAGAGATAAAGTTCTGTTCTATAATATAAAGGGCAAAAGGTTAAGTATTATCTCTGTATTCAAGTTGGTTGTTTTAGAAAATGTCTTTCCCAACCCTGTTTGAGATAAAAAAAAAAAATAAATTAAAATTATTATGTCATCAATAGTATTAGACAGTTAAATTGCATGTGGCCAGGGTAATATGAGCATATTTCATATAGATAAATAAATGGATGCATGGATAGGTAGATATGAATTATAAATCTAATTATGAATCTCTGAACACATCAGACAGTCATGTTCAAAGACCTACTATAACTTCATGTTGATTATGTTCTTGATAATATCTGTGCTTTGATATAATTTACCATTATATATATATAAATATATATATATACATATATATATATATATATATATATATATATATATAATTATTGATTTTGTACAGAGAGAAAGGGAGAGAGATAAAGAGTTAGAAACATCGATGAGAGAGAGTCACCGATCAGCTGCCTCCTGCACACCCCCCATTGGGGATATGCCAGCAACCAAGGTACATGCCCTTAACCGGAATCGAACCCGGGTCCCTTCAGTCCCCAAGCTGACGCTCTATCCATTGAGGCAAACCGGTTTCGGCTCATTTACCATTCTTAACATAACAACTCTGTGTTTATGTAATTACAGCAGGCCTGGTGAATGGCATTCATGCACTGGGGGTGGTCTCTCAGCCTGGCCTGTGCCCTCTCACATTCAGGGACCCCTCGGGGGATGTCCACCAAGGGGTCCTTAGTGCTGCAGTGGGGGCAGGAGAGGCTCCAGCACCACCACTGTGCTTGCCAGCCATGAGCCTGGCTTCTGGCTGAGTGCACTCCCCCTGTGGGAGAGCACTGACCACCAGTGAGCAGCTCCTGCAATGAGTGTCTTCCCTCTGGTGGTCAGTGCATGTCATAGCAACTAGTTGTCTGCCATTTGTTTGATTTGCATGTTATGCTTTTATTACATAGGAACATTTTTTTAAATGAATGGAAAGGCAGTATGTCAGGAAACACATTGTTCCCTCTTCTTAAACTTTGCAATGTGTACATAAGTGTACATGACTGAAATGCATAAAAAATAATGAGAATTTAAAAATACACTCCTTTCTTCACATTGTTCAAGACAAGAGTTTGCAAAGAAGGCTCTTCTTTTATTATCAAACTAAAATACATAAATATGTAAATGGCAAAACAGTGACTGATTTTTATCCCCACCCAACAGAAGGAGAAATCATATTTTAAATGGAAATTTATTTTTGAAACATTGTGTAGTGGATAACAATGCATTTTAACTTAAAAGTACTAATTCATATTCTTCATACAGCAACATAATATTTGTTAAAGAAAAACAGGTTTTTGGATAAAGAAATTGGGAAAGCAGTTAATGTGTTGATAATTTCCAAACTATAGACAATGTTCAAATCTTTCATATATGTGCTTAACTTACCATCAATTTAAAATAGATTGCACTAAACAGAAGAACCTAAAAAGTAAAGATTGTTATTATAAAGGTCAATAAATTCAAAATCAAAGGAAAAGTAAAGAAAAGAATTCCATGTTATTATTTGAGGAGAAACTACCGATAAAAATAGAGGTCTTCAATATTATTTTTGAACCTATCCCTTAGCCATATCGCTATGTTATTTGCAGGCACCAATGGGCATCTGCCCTGAGAGTAGATTATTAGCTCTTTCTGCATATTTTACTAATTGAATGAAATGGCATATAAGCCCCACCTATGGTACAAAGTGCAGAAAGTGAAGAACAAGAGAAAATGCAAGACTCATGAAATAAAAAATAAAAAAAGTCTTTCCTCAAGAATCAATATTCATTTTTCCTGGCTCTATGACACATAAATGCAATTAATAATATTTTAATAGTCGCTATCATAGCCCATTTGGAAGAATCACTTAGGATAAATAACATGTTTCAACATCTCTGTTACCAGCGTGGTCTAATAGCATGGATGACATACCACATACAAAATTCAAGGCAAACAACTTTTGCTGGATTAAAAAGATCTTTTGGCCAACCTATAGTTATAATTCTATGATGACTCTGAGTCTGTAATCAGTGAAAAAGAGAAGTCTAGACAGAGATATTATATTGTGATTTGATGGTCATTGAATCACAAATGTCACATTGATTCTGTTTTTTCAATCTTCTTCCCCTTTGCCTTCATGCTTATGAGACTGTCTCTTCAAAACAACAGGTTTATAAATATTATAGTTGTCTTAGTCCATTCTCAGCGTAACCAGCCAAGATTTGCTATTTTTTTTTCTGCCTGATTAAAAGCTGGTACTGATTAAAGATGATGACAAAAAATAAAATAAAATAAAATTGCTCTTCCTGTCTAGGAAAAATAACCGCCACATTCTTTATAAACATTTACATAGATGTCATAGAAACATCATATATATATATATATATATATATATATATATATATATATATATATATATGAAGTATTCTTAAGCTTAAACATACTTGGATAGCTCCCCTGGGTTCCACAACTTTAATCCTGAGTCAGTTTCTTAAAATATTGAAAGTCCTTTCAAAGTAACTACTTAATCAGTCTAGATTTATGTAGTTAGTTGATAATGTTTCTGCTGATGAATATACTTTACCTCAAAATATACTGGCCAAATATTTGATTTTTTTTCTCTGTGTAAATACTGTTTATTTTCATACTATCTCTACTAACATGGGGTAGGTTAACTTTATGTTTGTTTTTACTAAAATGATCATCTTGAAATTGCTGAAATATGTCTGCTGAGTAGCTTGTACTGTTTTGCATATTTCATTGTAAAATTGAACTTTAAAATACAGTGACATCTCATATCTCAGGGCATTAGTCTTCTGACAAATTCAGGTTTTTAAAACAGTGCTTAGACATCAATAGTGACCCCAAAAAGCTTCTGAAAGTCACAAAACTTTGATTTTTTGAATCCACATTATCTGGTCCCTTTCTCAGGTTTAATGATCTTTTAATAAAAAGCAAAACAAACAAAGACACAAACTTTCTCACCAGGAGATTAGAAGTAAACGGGAAGATATGTTTTAGAGAGAGGCACAATGACAGAATTAGTTAAATATCATAGCCTGAATTTGGACAAAGCAAAAGGAATCCATAAAGCTATATGCAAAGAGAATCTGATGGGATACCAGTTGAGATGATCCCAGAATATCAGGAAAACGTTAAATTATATTTAGTGATCTTTAAGTGAGCAAGTACAAAAATATAATGTGCTTAATCTAATTCTTATCCAAAATATTTTATACTAAAATCACTTTGGTGCTTCAAGAAAGCCTTGGATTTTAATGGCATAAATAATTAATTTTCAAAATTTAATATGCATAATAAACACCCTTGGGATCTTGTAAGAACATGGATTCTTGTTGAGTAGACCTGAGAATGTAGCAAGAGTCTAACTTGCTAACAAGCTCTCACTTAATTCTGATAGTGTTTCTAGCAAGGTATGTATTATATAATGTATTAATTTTCAATAATGTCAGATGAAATGTCACTGTATTTGATCTCAAATACTTTGGAAACCTTGAATTAAAACATACTACTCATGTAAGTTGGCCAGTTTGTTACATACAACCCATTCACTTTAGAAATAAGGAAATAGTACTATATTAAACTATTTTAAAAATAGGAAACGTGATAGCAAAGTAAATATAGAGCACTATTCAGTCTTTCAACCATACAATAAGCATGCATGAGAGAATTTTACTTAAATCTAAACTTGGTCAGTGCTGTGCAAAATTTGAGGTGAGTTGTATCAATAGCATACTAAATCATATTCAATAGAATTCTAAATTCTCTTAAACTATTGTTTCAGTTCATATCTGAAAAGTATGCAACACAATGGAAATTTTAAAAGAATACTTTGTTTTCATTTATGTTAATGGGGAAACACTGTGCTTTGTTCAAAGGTTTACTGTTGATTAAAAAATGTTGGGCGACCATTTTCTGGTTCTGTGTCTTATGAATGTAAATATTATTTGTATTAAAATATCTATAAACTGGAGCTGGAAGAAGTGATATGCTATAATATATTTGAATCCATGGATTTATAGCTTTTATAGGCATTTCACATATATGTAAATTTTTGATTCTACCAAATTCCTTTATACTGAGTTGATAAGATATTCATGTCTAATATTAGCATGAGACTTCTCTGATCCTACTATATCTTTCTTACAGAAATTGTGGTTCTAGATGCGTTATGGCCAATTTGACCCTTTCCTATCTCAGTAACATTTTACTGAGATTTCTATGATGCTCCAAATAATTATCTAACTTCAGATGGCTAAACAAAATTGACAATTATGTTTGGTATGAAGAATATTTGTAGTGCGTATTTATGTGTAGTGAGCAGGCCAATCTAGGGAAAATTGTAAATGATATTTATAAAAGAGATATGACCTCAAGTGTTCCTTAAAAAGTCAACATATACATATATGAAAACTTAATCTTTATACTAGACAATAAGGAAAATAGACTCATGATTTAAAATCATTACAGAAAATTCCCACACTATCACTTTGTCATTCTATCTTCCAGTTAAAAAATTAGAAGTTCTAGACAGCAGTTGTATAAACCCACTACCTGTAAAATTCTCTAATACAAATTTTCCCCATTGTTTAATGAAAAGTAAAATGTACTAAAAAAAAATCTAGGAAGCTAGAGATGACAATTTATGTTAACCAAAAAATATAACTATTTAGTAAATTATTTCTTGTTTATTAAAATGAGAAAAAAATGCAAGACCCACTATAACAACTAAATGTTTAAATGATATACCGTATTATCTTGTGAATTGAGAGTCTGTCCCAAAAGATTTTCTGGGAAGAACAATCAATTGATACAAATGTCAGTGCAAATCTGTCAATTTTTGAAAATTTTAAAGCATATTGTTCAAAGTTTTAGCTTGTGTGCATGATACAAATTCCATACATTATTTTCTCAGTGACAAGAAAAGCACAGTTTATTAAAAACTGAAGTAAAAATCAAAATAATCTTTTTTAAAAAAAACATCGGTCACAGTTTTGTCATTGGTATGTGGAGGTTGTTCCAAGGGCCCATCCAAAGTTCCTCCTCATCTGACTGCGTGTGGTCACTCTGGAATTCCAAAGCTTCCCGAACGCTCTTCCTGTCCATCACAGACTCCTGTTCAACTGTGCTTTTCAGCCTGCTCCCCAGTGGCTTCACCACCATACTGTCAGTCCCCAGTGGGCAAGGGGCAAACGTAACCAGAGTTGGTCTTGTGTTCATTTTCTCAGTAGAAAATGGCCCCTTGGACAGAGTGTTCAGGGGGATATTCTCCTCATGTGTCACTGCCAACTTGTCTAGTTTCTTAAAATGCCTCCCCAGTCGCACAGGGGAGGCCCCTTTAAAGTTATCCAGGAGGCAGGCCCGGCGGGTTCTCACCACAGAACCGTTCTGGGCAATGTAGATATTACCGTTGACATTACTGTGGATATTAGGAGGGTGGAGACGGCTTCTCTGACATTCAGGAGTGCTGTCTTCTCCAGTTGAGCTGGTTTCATAATCTCCATCAACAACTAACTTGATCATTCTTTTTCTTGCCCACTGTCAAAATAGAAACAATAAGTGAGACATCATCCGAGGAATTAAAAGGGCACAAAATAACAATGCCTGTCCAGTTAAAAAAAAAAAGCTATAAAAGGTATTATAAATCGAAAGAAGCAGAGGAAAGCAACTCTATTTATACCAGTTTCTTTCCCACCAATTCTTCATTGAGTTTACAGCTTAATAACTTATGAAGAAAGTGTTGCTGAGTTAGGAAGTAGACATTTATTTTAGGAAGCACGTGTATTCTTTTAGATAAAATTGCTGCTTTACAAGGAAAACAAAAAGGCATATTATTTATATCCAGCTAAGGATCTGTCCATTGTTTGACAGGTGCTATACTATTCAGGAAAGCTAAGTGGAAAGGAATGTATAGCATTAGCGTATTCTGTTCATGGTAATATTTCCATGCATGCTCAGTAGTGTAAAGATATTTTTAAACCCACATTGTTCTAATTCCTAATTAACCCTTCATTGTTGTTTTATTTATTTTGTATAATTTAGTGCTTTTATTCCATTGAAGTATCCTGGTTGGTGTTTTTCGTTTTTCACATTGAAATTCATGTTAACCTAAAAGAAACTATTTTCCCATCCTGATAATTTATTTAGTAAAAGTGAAAACTAATTATTATAAACTTTCCTTTTGTAAGCAACTGAAACACAATGGACATTTTCACAAATTTACTTGTATCTTTCCACATTAGAAATGGCAAGGAGCAAAGGTGAAACAATACTAGGTTATTCTCAAAACAATATTGCATTTTCAGGATATGTGAATTCCCAGCCCATTGCCCTAAGTAGGCTATGCTTTTTTATTTCAGATATATTTCTTAAAATTTTTATGTTTACTTACCTATAAAATTGGATAAATGTTATTACAATTTAATTTTTCCAAATTCACTCTAATTCATATCCACAACAGAATTGTAGAAAATTGAATTTTTAAAAAAAGTATTTTATTTAACTTCTGATATTTGAAAGTGCCAACTACAAATTCATTTGAACCTGTTCATGATATTTATGATAATGCCTTTGCCAGTTGAAATGTAGATATATTCAAACATGCAAAATCGACTTTTAGAGATTTCATTTGTTGCCATTTGTCCTTAGGAGTTATTTTTAAAAGATGATAGAAAGACCAACATAGGTATTCATGGAACACATTCTGAGAGAGAAGGCATCCTTGTACTCTGTAATGCCACACTGCATTAAGAGAAATCCCACTAGAAAATATTAACTGGTTGCATGTCATGTCTTCTGAATGACTCATATAGGATAGATGAGTCTATTTAAAGCTATCCTCTAATATACACATCTATGTGGGTGGCATATATATATATATATATGATCTCCACTTTTCTAGCATGTTCCTAATCTTAAATCGGATCCAAATCGTGATCATGTTCCTCCCCTTCAAGTGTCACTTCAGAGAGCACACAGAAGGCACTGCACACAAGAGCACTCATCACTGCAAACCCCCCACCTACTGTGCGCGCTTCTAAAGGGCTGTGTTGTAGCCCTCGGCTTCGGCTCCCGGAGGCTTCCTCTGGCTGGAGCTCCTGCTTCGGTCATACTCTGGCACCTGGAAGCCCCAGGGGCCTCCAGACTGGCTTTCGCTACTGCTGGTGGTGCTGGATTCCCCCTCACTCCCCACACCTTCCACCGAAGCTGATCCCATGCTGCCCTCCTCAGTCACGTCCTGAGGTTCAAGGTCAGTGGGTTCTTCCATGGCCAGCTCACTTTCCTCTCCTTCCGCAGGGGGTGCCTCCTCTTCCACCTGCAGTTCTTCTGGTTCTTCAGGAGGCTGCCGCTTTTTACCTTTGACCTCCACGACTTCTTCAACCACGGGCCGCCTTCTTGCGAGGAATATGTTTTTCCTTGCCTTTTCTCCTTCTGACTCTGTGGACGACTCTGATTCCGGGGTAGAACTTTCCTCCTCCTCCTCAGGTGTCTCCGACTCCTCTTCCTCTTCAGTGGTCTCCGAGTAACTGAACTCGGATTCCGTTTCCGTGTATTCAGTATAGTCGCTTGATTCCTCCTCCGATTCCACGGTGCTTTCTGAAGCTTCTTCTTCTTGGTCCAGAGTTAGTTTCAAGTAATCTTTGTCTTCTTCCTCAAGGTCAACGATGCCTCTTCTCTCTGCTAGCCCTCTCACTTTCTTAAAAATCATTGGGAATAGCCTGGCTCTCTTCCACGTTATGGGTGTTGGCTCAGCTGCTGGTGGCTTTTCAATAGTGACAACTACTTCCTCCTCTCTAGGCTCTGTAATTTCAACTGTGGGTTTAACTTCCTCTTCCTGAAAATCACCAAAATGCAATCGAAGTGTCAGCTAGGGCATGGTTATGATGTGACCTTGTCCCTCATAAGTTAAGCAGGTGACAACTTTGTGCAAGCTATATAACTGCTCTTAAGTAAACAGTCACATCACTAGCTACTGGTTTCCCCCTGTATATAGACAGAACGTGACCTAATAAAAGCGAATTATTTCGTGCTGGCTTATATTAATGACAGCAAAATTTAATGCTTTCTCATTTTTTTTCTTATACAAAATTTGTTTTGCATCCCACATAGGAGAGAGAAATTATCATAACGCCTCCTCTTTCTCATTTGTAGGCTTTAATATTTTTATGTATTCCCTTTACTAATATTTTAAATAGCCAGGAAATTTTACTATTTTCTTAACTTACAACAGGATAAAGCTATCATATTTCTCTTATTTTTTAACAGGAAACTACTATGACATTTCTTTGTTGTGTGCATGTTTGTGTTTTAAATAAATGTTCAAGTAAATGTTTCAGGCAATATAAGAATTAAATATGCACGACTCATGCTACTTTAAACAAGCATTTCATTAAAAATGTTGGTGACAATATTTTACTTTCTCTCATAACTGAAAAATGGACACTCTACTTTCTACATTGTCCAGCACACCTAAAAAATTGGAGACTGTACTTTCCACAATTTTTTAGGTATGCTGGACAATGTAGAAACAAAAGTAAACATTGTTTTTGCGAAATCTTTTATATATTTTAACATTATCTTTATGGAGAAACATTTATGGTTTTAGAAAATATAATTTCATTGCAGCTTTATCCCTGGTGTCGAAGATTTTATAGGAGGATATAAATTAAACTTACATAAAATTAATTTCCTTCTACAGACAAGACAATGGTCAGCATTATCAAATTTCTATGGAAAACATGTATTAAGTGAACAGAATTTCTGATTTTTAGAAAACTGTGTAGCCTGTTATGCAAATATGGTTAACAAATTGTTCTTGGATTATTAACCTTCTTTAATAATTAATTAAAGAAGAAAATTACGGTAATTACCTCTTCTTCCTCCTCAGCTTCACCAACCACCTCACCATATTCCTCTTGTTCACCTGGTGGTATCAAGCGACGGCGACTTCCATACTGAGGCATTTCATACCTGAAATAGAAACTTACAACTTTAAACCTTTTTTTTTTTTTTTAATGTGGTCTAGGTAGGTTCTACCGTGACTCTTCATTTTCTTCATCATTCAATCAACAGATACTTACACCTAACTTATTAGGCACCTGGTAAACTAATTACAAAACCAAAAGGTAGGTACTACAGTCTGATAACCAATGATTTTTGCCATAATGGTACCCTGGAAATTCAATTAGAAGAGTCAAGTTATTTCAAAGTAAGTTTTGGGAGAGTCTTTAGGCATATTGTTCCTTAATTAACTGAAAACTTTAGGACACAAAATAGGTTCTTTCTAAAAGTATAACGGCTTCTTCAGAACAAAAAGTCTATCTTTACTATAAAGCTCTGCTTCTTGTTTTCTTCTCTTGGGCAAATCTTGAGGGTGACTGGTTTGATGAAATGTTAAACATGTCATATAAACAATGATGAATTCAGGAATTGAGCAAATATGATGTCTATTTTTCCTCATTTAATAATTTTGAATAACTTTTACTGCATTCTTAGAGTTGGAGTCAATATTAACATAGAACATCAAAACAGAACTCAATATAGAAAAATGGTTAAAACCTGACTGAAACTAAAACTAGATTTGTTACTTATTTTCAAAGATGCAACAAATAAAGTCACACATAACATGAATGGTAGCAATAATTATTTACTAATTCTTATTATTCATAAAAATATTAATATACTGGATTTAAAAAATCTGAAAATGTACCCATGCTCATAACTGTAATAATCTTGTCCATATTCCTGGCCAGGATCAATTCCAGACTCCATGGATAACTCCTATTTTTCAAAAAGAGAAATTGTATTTTGAAAAAAAATTCTTATTACATTCCAGCTCAAAGTCAGATTTTCAGACCTAGAATTCGATGACTCTCAAAATATTTCTGTCAAAATAACTTTAATCACAAATGTTAGTCAAACATATCCAATTTTTTTTTTTTGGCTATGATTGTTTTATACAAAATAAGATTATGTTTTTAGAACTGAGGGGGTAAATATGGAATTTTATATAAAGGTGAATCTGTTTAAGATTACAAATGAGCCTGTCACTTGTTTTAAAACTATCAAAGGCAGTTAATATTTTACTCTATTTTAACATATTATTAACAGACTTTAGCCTTGAGAAAAATTATAGCGTTATCTTTACCATTATTTCATTGTTCTAGTTTCCTGCTGACTTCTAATACCCTGAAAACTTTTCAAAAGCTATTCTTAAGATCTGATAATTACATTAACATGTGATATTTCCCAAGGATGTTTATATTTTAAAACATACTAGATTTAATTAAATCTAATTAAACCAATAAAAGCCCTTTTAAGGCTTCTATTTCTAAATCCTAGACAATATCATTTTTTGTCCAACTCTACTCTTATAGAAATGTTTTTTTTTCTCCTGAGATATACATATGAAGCTAGTTTTAAATAACTACATTCAGTTTCATTACATTTCCCTTTTAAATTCTATTTTAACATTGAAGTAGGTTGAACAAGTTAAATTAACTTTGCCATGAAGTAAGAAAAGGGAAGGAGGAAAAAGTAAAGGTATCCACAGGAAAATAGGTTGGTACTTTATTTTGAAAGTCGTCTTTTTATATATATATATATATATATATATATATATATATATATATATATATATATATATATATATTTATAAATATATATTTATATATATATAAATATATATATATATAAATATGTATATTTATATAAATATATATAAAATTCTGTTGTTTCAAGGAGATACAAGTTCTCTGAGACCATAAATTTATCATTAGAAAAACCATGAAATTCACAGCCTGAATAATCATCACTTGTGCTCTGTTTGGCAAACTAACCTCAATTGAGGATATTTTTTCCATTGATTCATAGAGAGATTGAAAATGGAGAGGGGGGAAGGTTGGGAGAGAGAAACTCATCTGCTGGTTGCTTTCTGAATTAGCCCTAAGTGGGGCCAGTGAGCAAGCTTGCAACCCAGACACGTGCCTCTGACCAGGAATCAAACCTAAAATCTTTGTGTGTTTTTTTGTGCAGGCCGATGTACTAATCATTTAGCAGCACTGGCCAGGGCCAACAAACATAATTTTTTAAATTGAATTTGTTGTCTTTATTCTAATCAGAAATTGCTATAAAAAAATCTGGAGTTAGATTTCTGCTGAAAAAACACCAACAATGGCCTCATATTTTTACATGTAATGAATTTAGTTAGTGGTACTATTCCTTATAGCAATCATGGTCTCTACTAGTTACTGCAATCATGGTCTCTACTAGTTACTGCTGTGTTCTCAACCATGCAGTGTTACTTCTGTACCCAGAGTCACAATAGGATCTCCCTTCTGCTCTTCTGTTTGTATATCTAATAAATTCCATTCACTTTGTATTACTTCCCAGGATGTTTTAGTTTGCAGTGCCTCAGCTTTACTTATATATGATCTGATTACTGCACTTTACAAATGTTTTGCAGAACAACTGTAACAGGATCCATTTTTGCTGTTAAAACTGCTGCAGTTTACCCACCAGAATAGCGAAGAATGAAAAGGAAAAATCACCAGTACCACGTTTTGGCAGGGACCTGGAGCACTGGAACTTTCATATCCTTCTAGAGAGATTATCAATTAGGAAAATGTTTGACAATACTACTAAAGTCCAATAAATGCACATCCTGTTTCACAGAAATTCAGTGTAGTTCCATTTTATACTCAACACAACTGTGTACACCACAATACAGTATTCACAACAGCCAGCGACTGGAACCAATGAACAAGTCCACAAATACACTAAAACATCACACAACAGAGGTGAATCTCTCAAACAGAATGATGACCAAGGGAAGCCAGGTATAGATGAAGCCTATTATTCTATATTCTATTCATGGAAATTAAAAAAAAAAACACAGAAAATGATTATGTACATTAGGAGCCAGGTGAAAAGTTTCAATTAGGACTAATCACAACTCAGATTACCCTCACAGCCTACAATACTGCCACTGCACAGTGAATGCCTATGTTTAGAAAAAAGGAAATCTTATAATCTATGACATGGATAGACCTTGAGGGCATTATGCTAAGATGGACAAGACAAATACTACATGGTATTGTATCACCTTATATGAGGAATCTAAAACATATTTAAATAAGAAGTTACACTCATAGAAACGGTAGAAAAGTGATTGTCAGTGGCTGGGGTGTGGGAAATAGGGAGAGGTTGGTAAAAAAAAAAAGTTAAAAACTATGAGATGAATGAGGCCTGAGGTTCTAATGTAAAAGATGGTGACTATATTTGATACTATTGTATTCTATAATTGAAATGCGCTTAGAGGACAGAATTTATATGTTCTCACATATAATAAAAGGGAAATAAGTGAGGTGATAGTTGTGTTAATTAACTAAAGAGGGGACTCTTTTTACTGTGGATACATGTATCAAATTACCACAATTTGCACATTAAATATTTTATAATTTTGACAATTAAAATTCAATAAAGCTGAATTTAAATATATATGTATAGCATTAAAATATTTATCTTGAAGAAGCAAAGAGACCAGGTTAGTAGTCAGGGAAAGGGGAAATAATATCCGAATGTTGAAGTTGACAGGTGTTCTGGAGAGATACTAAGGAATGCGCACTATGTAAATACTCATCTATTAAACTGTGTGATTTGAACGCTTTTAGGCTGCAGTTTTATTCCAACAAAAAGTGTTCACGGTGGGAAGAGTCAGAAATGAGGTAGAGAAAGACCAATAAGAAGTTGGAAAAAGGTAATATATTATTATTATTATTATTATTATTATTATATATTAATATATATTGGGAGGCATTTAATAACCAACATAATTATACTGGTTTTCATAAAATGAATAGGTCTCAAAAATGATGCTTTTAAACTAATTGTTCAATACATGTTTAATCTAATACATACAGAGACTGAGGAAAGACCACCAAACAATTTTTAACTTCGAACCTAAATGTCCATCAATGGAAGAATGGATAAAGAAAATGTGGTATAGACAATGGAATGTCATTCAGCCTTAAAAAGATGAAATTCCTACCATGTGCAACACCATGGATGAACCTTGGTCAAATGAAAAAAGCCAGTCATAGAAAGACACAAGCAGAATGATTTCACTTTTATGAGGTATGTAAAATAGTCAAACTAAGAAGCAGACAGAATCATCATTGCCAGAGGGTGAGGAGAGGGGGAAAAGTGGTATAAAATTTCAATTAAGAAGTTCTAGAGAACTATATTTTGCTTATAGCGAACACTATTATTAAACACTCAAAAATTAAGAGAGGAGATCTCAAGTTGGATGTTCTTAACAATTAATTACTTGGAAGTTGAATTTTAATAACTTTTAGCAATAATTAAAAATAAGTAAACAATGCAACTGAGTATATCTCAGATTTTAAAGTGAGAATAAAACACATTCTTTAAAGACATGTACTTCTTTTTCCTAAAGGAAAAAGCTCAGCTTTTGCTAAGTACAACATACAACATATATCTAGCATCAGATGCCTTTAAGAAAATAGAATAGAAGCAACTGGGAAGGAACCAAGAAACTTAGCCCTTGATTCAATTAGTCATCTGCAATCTGAGTTGGAAAGGAGCCAGTAGAAGAGAATAACCTGAAGGCCCCCCTTAGAGTCCTGTGGCACACACTACCGAAGGGCAGAGCATCACCTCTTTTTTTTTCTTTTTCTTTTTTCCTGAAAAGACCTGGTGACCTTTCAGATTCCCAACTCACTGGGAGAGACACCAAAATGCTCCATGCAGCCCTTACTACCCTTAGCAGGAGGTGAATCCCAAATTTAGGAAATCATGCTCAATAGCATACTAAAAAGTGATTTTATGGGCAGATAAAATACTAAATGTTAATTTTTTAAATTTATTTTAGCTAAGATAATAACATTTTTGATTAAAAAAAAATTTTTTTTTCATAGAGAAGGCATAGGAAATTAATTTCTTGACCTAACAAAAAACAAAAAAGCCCACCCAAAAAAAAAAAAAAAAAAAAAAGACCAATTACTGATTTTTCTTCCTACTATGCTCAAGTTGCTGGGCTGGGAGTTAATATGTTAAATTTAACTGCCCATATTTTATAGAAGATGAAATTGATGCTCAGGAGGGTTGCATATCTTGATTAAAGTCTTGCATCTGGTAATTGGTATTTGGATTTTAACACTGATCTATCATAGGAAGATGTCTCCATGGAAATTTTTGCTAAGAATTTATATAAGTTGAATATTCCTGACACACAACTTCTGAATTGTGGAGAGTAAATTTTAACCATGAAATGTTTCTCTTTAGCAAAATGAACATTATTTTATTAAAGAAATTGGATATTTTTAAAAATAGAGCTTATAAAATACTAAATTTGCCAAAGATGTGTTTATATAATATTGCTTTTTATTTTCTAAAAAAAAAAAATTAGTGTGAGCACAAAATAAATGTAAATAATATATATTCTCTGACTATGCATATCTTTTTCTCATTGCAGAAGCAAATGACATAGGCATTTTGAGATAGATAACCAATGGCAGTATTTTGAATCACATTAAATGATTAAAAATTGTGAATCATAACCATTTTTTTCCCTTTTGTTATTTCAGCACAGATATCTGCATTCTTCACACTTTGCCTAATCTAAATCTGATCTGAAGAACAATTATATGACAAGTGACTGATCAGGTTTGTGAATTACTTCATTCAATGATAGCTTGCTTTTATTAGGACTAACATTTTTGTCTAATTCCCAAAGAATGAAGAAAAGAATTAGAATTTTAGCCACCAACAAGCAGTAAGGAGGTGATTTGCTCATTTATTATTTTAATTCTAAACCATCTTTCATCTTTCTTGTGAAATTATGCCACATTGGCAGCTACCCACTCTGCCTACATACATGGTGGAAGTTAATGTCACAAAATATAGTGAAGACAGTGAGGTTGAAAGGAGAAAGAAAATTAATACCTCTGGTTTAAGAAGAGAAGGCCTCAGCAGTTGTTGTTGCTGCCAAAGGAAATTAAAATAGAAAAAAAAGTTTAGAAAATAATTCAGATAGAAAAGGTAGATTATAACTGAAAAGAGAGAAAAAGGTGACAGTTTAATACTGGTTACTTGGGATTATAATGCATTATTCATGTGATAGCTACCAACAGCATTAAATAATATTTTGACTACTTACATTGGAAGACAATAAGTTAACTTGTTTTAATCTCATCATTATTTTAATTAGCATGAAAGTTAAAGTTAATAATTTTCTTGGTTGAGCATCACAGTATGGTGTCATTTGGGGATCTAAAAGAACTTTAAATGTCAAACAATTCTTCTTAAATGGAACATTTTAAATTGCTCCTCTATTTTTTATCCCCAATCGCATTAAATATAATCATGTTCATTAGGAAGAAGGGTAGAGATCACAAAATAATGATATAGTAATGATACATCCATCATCATATTCAAGACACGCTTTCCATTTTTCTTTACCAAAATGTGGATTGCCTTGCACTCAAGCATTAAGCATGCCTTCAGAAATGTTTTTGTGATTAGGGATATTGTCCTTCCTCAGATTTGACAGGAATCACTTGTATTTACCCATCTCACCCATATTAACTTAAAGAAAACACAGTCACTATTAGCCTGTTTCAGGATAATTTATACTTTAATCAGATGGGAGCAGCATTAACAATTCAAATGTTGGGGGAAATAGTTATGCAACGGGAATCTTAAAGTAAGGAAAATAGGCAGAGAAGTTCTGAGATACTTTCACTCCCACCAATAATATGGCCAATAGAATGACTGTTTGATTAAGCAGCTAGAGTTTCCATGGTAGAGTTGTTAGTGAGTTAGTCTACTTGAAGGTATTCACTCTACAGGGTGGGAAGTTGTTAGAGGTATTCTGGTTCAACTTGTTATTTTTTATAATTATTCCCACACACCAGTTATTGTTAATCATTAATCTTAATTTTCAAACAATTTAGAACTTACATATTCTAAAACATTTGCCAATTAAGTCCTATGCTTATTTTATTCTCTTAAAAGAGAAACTGCACATACTGGGTTCTCTCAGTGACTTCATTGATGGTACTACGTATAGTGAGGCCAGCCTAAATACTTTTGACCAGAAAGCCCAGTTCTTCATGGTAGATGGAGAGCCAAATTAGCACAATAGAAAAGCTAGAGTTTTCTTACAGTCTTAATTTTTTTTTTTTCTGAGATCTCAAGCTCTACGATGATAGAGTGGAGCCTTGGACTGATAAAAAGAATAAAAGTCAAGTCATGCTACAGTTTCCAAATTATATTTATAGACAATATTGGGGAAATATTACAATTTTGAGTAATAGGAATTCAGGAAAAACTGATGTGTTCCTAAAAAGGTAAGCAATTGGTTTTTGTTCACCATTGAATAATAGACCTAAAATCCCCAAACAAAGATGCAACACATATAAGAGAAAGGAAATTGTATACCATAGTTATAAGTTTTGTTTAAAAAATTACCCTGTTTTTGAAAAAAACAAAAACAAAACAAAACAAAAAAACCTTGATATACTATAACACCATAATGCCCTTACCTCCAATGAATAACCTCTCCTGCAAGGCAGAAACGAAGAAATCAATATTAAACATCTTGTTTTCTTAGGTTAAATAAAATTAATAGGTAATGGTGTTTAAAAAAAAACTGAGAAGGTAATTTTTACTAAAAATTATCTCAGTAGGAAATACATTTTGTGGCAGCATCAAATAGGATGATCAAAGTTTCCTACCTGAATTATTAAAAACAATTACCAGCCTAACCATGTGAATACCAAAACATACACAATCAATTTTTTCACAGTGGGGTACAATAACACACATTGATTCTGTTGTGATCAACTGGAATGAACAATATTTGACATCATCTCTGTCCTAGATGTCTTGTTACATATAAAATACTCATTTGGGGATATATGTGCTTTATACATTTATATCAGTTCAGAATAAAAAATATATATCTCTATGGCTAGAATATATTCTCCCGAGTCTTTGTAAGATGGTTTTGTTTGTGTTAGTTTATTCTAAAAATAGAGAATGCAAAATATTAACTTTTGAGAGTTAATTATACTTAATGTGTTACATTATTAGACATGGAACAAAGTTTTTAGAGATGTAAGAGCCAAATGTTCAATTTTACATAAAAATTTTAAAGTTTATGGACCATAAGTTGGTGAAACATTTGACTGTACTTGAGAGGGAAAAGGTATCGAATGCTTTCAATGTTTAATGTCACTAATTATCAATATTTTAAACATATTATTTATTAAAGAGTTGACCTAAAGCATTACACTGGTGCTGTTGACCATGCCATATGAAATTAAACAACTGGGTTCAATGAAGATGTGTTATAAAGAGGTAAGTACATAACTTTCTAAAGTCCAATGAAATAATCTCTGTAGAAAACTTTTTTAATTACAAGGTCTTATCAAAATAAGTCCACTTATTTGCATCTTTTGCTGGTTGAAATAGTTGGTCATATAAAATAGTTACCTAATCCAATCAGCAACTCATTATTTGTAATAGTTCTGTGGTAACATGTACAGGGTGCTTATGTGGTTCTGCCAGTAGTTATGGTAATAATAATATTCCTAGGACCGTGGTTAGGAAACTGTGGCTCTCGAGCCACATGTGGCTGTTTGGCCTCTTGAGAGTATCTCTTCCACAAAATACCATGGCCTGGACAAGTCTATTTTGAAGAAGTGGCATTAGAAGAAGTTTAAATTTGGCTCTCAAAAGAAATTTCAATAATTGTATTGTTGATATTTGGCTCTGTTGATTAAGGAGTTTACCGACCACTGTCCTAGAACATTTAGAAGTTTAGACATTTTCAACTTTTACTAAATTTGTATCTTTCAGAGATAAATATAGAAAGCTCATATTATATTTTTAATATCAATGCATAATATAAAATGCCCAACCAGAGCTAGATTTTATTTTCTAAGATATTTAAACTGCCTCTTTTCCTTAGCAGTAGTTTCTATAAATGTAGCAAATAAAATATCAATAGATGAACACTATTCTTCCATTAATTTTTGTTGCATTTAATTTATTTGTATTGTTTTAGTTCAAAGGCAAAAAACTTAGAAGAGGTACACAACAGAATTAATATGTATAATACTGTGTGCTTTCAATTAACATGACACTGTTAATTTCTATAAAACCAGTCATGCGATATGGATATACATTTCTGTGTAGTTTATATCTAATGTGTACTAATTCATGTTATATCACTTGCTTATATCTAATGTGTACTAATTCATTTTATATCACTTATGTGTATTATAGCTTACTTTTTAAATTAAGGAAGCTGAATAGTAATCTGTCTGTACTTCAATAAGGTATCTAATACAATTCTTTATGCACTAATTGAAGCATAATAAATCAGCAGGGGAAAAGGTGCTTTTTTAAGAGCCTGTTGTCAGTTTGTGGAGGCTTAAGGATTGAGGGGAGGAAAAAAACACATTCTGTCATGTTCAAAGAATATTAGGATAATAGGTGTCATGTAGAAGGTTTTCTAATTGGCTTTTAAGATGAAGATGAGAATATCTAATGTGTCAAAAAAAGGACTAAATATAAAACATGGATATGGGTGTTCCATTTGAAAAGTATAAAATACAAATAGATTTTAAGATTATTTAAGAATTATAATAATGTTATTGAAAAGAATAATGTAGCATTTTGGTAAGGTTACGAGTAAAACTGTTATTTAAATTTCTTAGAATATTTATTTGATAATTATTTAGAGATTTAATTATTAAGGATATCTAAGGAATTAAGAAATTTCATGTTTCCAAGAAATTGATACAAAATAGCTTAAGAACACACACACGCACATAAAAGGCATACACAATTGAGAATAATACCTTGTCAGACTCCGCCAAAAAGTACAAGTTCTCATGCATAAGACCAGCTGCCAACAAAAACTCCAACTGAAGTTTTTCAGTGAAAGAGAGAAAAAAAATCATATGCAAGAACCCCAAGAAAGAAATTACTCTTGATTTGGATGAAAGGAATCTGAAGCAGAGGAACTAATGAAAATAATTAAACTTACAAATTATATTTGATCTGATGTTATTAATCAGGGAGGTCAGACTAAATTCTTGAAGAAATAATCACATAAGAGATGAACAAAACCTTTGAAATGATGCATTGTTGGTCCCTGAACCTAATATACTTACTTGATAATGTTAATTATCAAGCAAGACTTTTGCCTCAATGTTGGAATTGTACTTTAATCTGTGCAAATTTATATCTTCCTAAAATGGGAAAATAACAGAGTAAAACAAATTATTATACTTGTATTCAAAGTGGGGGTTTCCAGTAAACAAAATTAATCCATGTGTTCAATAGGAGAAACAAAGGGACTACTTGATGGTTAAGTATAGCTTTCATTAAGAAGGTAGTAAGGTAGTACTTAGCTTAGCTGATACCTTTAAGAATTTAACAAATTGAACTCTAACATAAACAACCACTACAATTACAGAAATTTTTGTCTAGAGTACAAATTTTTGTCTTCTTTGCCTAAAACAAAGAGTTAAGGTCTATATAGAACTGCTAAGAGTCCACCAGATATATTTCCTTTTGATTTCTATTTAAGCTTTTTATATACTATAGACTTAATTTGAATAATTCACCATTAGTAATTAATAGTAGTTAGGAATTATGCCATAATTCCCTCTTCTAAAAAATTAATAAAGCATGTTTTTATTTTTGATAGAAATATTTATAATTTTCACCAGTGGAATACTAACTTCATTCTAGATAGCATTTGTAGACAATTTACTTAACCTTCCTTTGATGAATCTGATTCAAATTTCTTTATTAAACAGGAGATAAATAATTTTCTTTGAAGGAGCCTCATAATAAAATTATAATTAAAGAGATGATGTAATAATGTGGACAAGAGAAACTAAAGAGCACTTTAAACATCTGTGGAAACAATGAAATGTCTTACAAAAGTCAACAACTCAAGATTTATTTTCATTATAAAGAAGGAAAAATAAAACACAATGAGAAATAAATAGCTAAGACAGCAATTGAAAAAAAAAAGTAAAGGTTTATCAAACGTATAAGCATACTAGTAAGATAAAAGCAAGCCAGAGTAAAGGATGTTCTCATAAGAAAATAGATGATTACATCTTATAGCACCTGGTTTTTATTTTGGAATACTATTAATGTCTGTCACCTCCTATGTCTTAAGGTAAATAACATTTAATTTGGTAGTATTCCTTCTTATCAAATGCAAAAGCTTCAGGGAAATTACAGAACCTATGATATTTTTTAGCTTCTTTGTAACAATCTGCTTTTTTCTTGGAGCACACATATAAAATTATGGTGAAAAGTAAAAATTATTGCATCAATATGATAAACAAGTAATTGTTTTAAATTGGATGTCTAACTTTCATGCCCATATAGTCCCATTAAAAAAATATATTGAAATTACTTACTTTTTAAATAAATGTAGACAAATAATGCTACTTCGTAGTTAAGAAAATTAAGGTAAATCTATGAGTTAGTAATGATGAGGTTAATAATATTTTAAATTAAAAGTGAGGAAAAAACAGCATTGCATTGAGTTTAGGGAAAAGAATGAAATCTTCTTTAATGTCCAAATTTGCCTCCACTCGAAGACTACGTTCAAAAGAGTTGTTCAGTTAAAACAGGAAAAGCAACATTACAGTGAAGTAGATTGAGTGTGAGATTGTTTTTCACATTCCTCAACAATATTGTGCAAATTCTCCTGGTTTTGTCCAGATGTTATTTCCATTTTGGTCATCTCTGAAGGGTAATTAATTTCAAGTTTTGGAATGTGTGTTGAGGGATAGCTTTTTTCTATATGACTGTACATATTAGCTACTGACTTTTCAAGTTCTGCTAAGTTTTTAACATGTTTGAGGATTCCTTTTGGTTCTCTTAGAGGACCTGCATCGCACACTGTTGTTGGTGTTGATAGTTGTCCCACAGAGGACTGCGTTTCCTTGGCTGGTGTCACATTGACAGTGTGTTTAACAGCTGGTATAAAAACACACTTAGTGGACAAACCTGAAGTTGAAGGAGGGAGTGGAGAAGGAAAAGAAGGGGGAGGTGGTGGAGGAAGAGAAGGATGTGGAGGGAGAAGAGATACAGGAGGAGAAGGGGGAAGAGGAAGTGGAGGAACAGGAGAAGGACTAGAAGGAGGAGAAGGATGGGAAAGAGCAAAAGGATTAAGAATAAGAGGAGGGGGAAGGGGCGGAGGGAAAGGTGGAGGAGAGATGTTTGGTGGATGGGGAGGATTTTTGAAAATGTTCCTCTTGGTTTCAATAGTCAACATACAACTGGGTGTCTCTCTCCTAAAGAGTGGAGCGTTTAAAATGCACGGCCTTGAAGGTGAAAGTTCCAAGGGACAGTCAGCAGGAGAAATGATGACATCGGGTTCTGATCTGAGTTCCACAGTTCTTGAGACAGTTGGCAGAGTAGAGAATGTGGAGTGAGACCAAGGAGAAGAAAAAGAAGAGTCTGAAGATAGAGATTTCAGCTGTTCTGTTCCTTGAACCGTCAGTGATTCACCTCGTTGTGCCTCTTTCTCTGTTACCCTTGTGTCTCCAGCTATGAGCAAGGGATTGCTGCTACCTCTTGTGTGTGGATAGGGTTCAGTGCTTTCACTTCCCGCTTTCTGCCTGTTGTTTTGCCATTGATCCAGATCTATGGTTTCCAGTCTATCGGGACGTTCCCACTTTGGTCTCTTAGGTAAACCGAACGTCTGATTCCATATCCTTTGAATCTTTTTTCGTGGGCCCCTCAGAGACTCCTTGGCTTGTGCTCTTGGTAAAATAGAGCCTATAGAATCTGTTCTTAGGGAAAAGTCTGAATGTGTTGATCTTTGATCTACATGTTCCTTATAAAGGGTACTGTGGGTATTTAAGGCATCGTCATCAGATATCAATGTGAATTTTCTTGCAGACGTGGGCTGGCTGTTCTTGAATGGTCCCTCTACATAAGCCTGCTCGTTAGCCTCAGCAGTGCTGGAGGAAAAGGGCATTGTCACGCGCTGGTGTGTCTTGTCTTCTGAGACTGACTGACTTCCCCTGCTTTGTTGGAAATGGTAGAGAAGGTAAAGACTTGAAAGAAAAGAAGATAATGAAATGTAAGGAAACAGGTTGTGCCATAGCTTTCATGAGAAAGATGCTTTTTATGGTTCTCATTACGACTTCAAAATACAAAATGCCAAATAACACTAATCTGTTGAAGCAAAGCATTGCTTTCATGTCCTTGTTCTCAAAAAAAGACAGGACAGAAAAGCTTGAGAGCTGTGAGTAGCATAATATTCTATTTTTTTGCCAAAATGTATCAATCTGTATACTGATTTTCCCCCCCAATTATTTTGATACAGCAAAGTATCCATGACCACACATAACAGTTCTCTCATGTATAAATCATAATTTTCCAAAATTGCAGGCTAGCATTTTGGTGAATAGTTGCATGTCCTTTGCCTTGGTTGAGGATGCCCAGAGCTAACTGTCTTTGGGGAATGAATCCTTGGCTGTATCTGATTCATAACTGTCCATTATCTCTCATCTCAGTAACTCTGTCCTGGAGCTAACAGTATTTCCTTTGCTGAGATAAATTCCTGCAAGAGAATACAGAAATATCTTTCCTATCCTCCAGATTCAGAGAATTAAAATCCCCAAGCACAAGTGAGAGAATTTCTCTTGCAGCAGATTTCAAAATCACAATTGAGAAATTGAATTTACATCAGAATCTTGACAGGGATTATTTTCTTCCTCTTAAGTTTTGCTTAATCAGTTTAAAAACATATATTTTAGAAACAAGAGAGGGAGTGTTGATATTTCTTTTGAACATATTCTTGGTCAAATTTTAGTCAAGACTCATTTTACTGAAAATAATTATGTTAATGAAACATAGTTTTGATATCACTATAAAATGTCTTCATATATGACAGTGAGTCATAGTGCTATTTATCATGAATAAAATTGAGTAAGCCAAAGCACTCGGATGAGAACATTGGGACCCTTTGCTTGAAAGTTCAGAGTGACAGATTTATTTTTGTTATTACTTACTATTTCCCCACATAAAAGAAGTTAAAAGGGAAATATATTTTGAATAAAATAGAGACACTAAAAAATTAAGATGATGTGAATCAATAAAATGATATATAAAGCCAAAGTTGTTATTGTGACACTTTGTAAAGAAATATACATGCTGCAAAGGAAGGATTCTCACAGGTGGACTTGGGCACCAGGACCACCGGAATAATTTGGAAAGTGCAGACAACATAGATTAACAGACAGGAAACACTTACAGTCCTCTTTTAAAAATGGGTTTGACATTATATAGCAGACATTTTTGTGTAGGTCTGTTCTTGGAAACAATTATCTATATAATGATATCATTTGATTGAAATATAAAATATATAAATGAAAAGCAAGAACTCTGAAACTCCTCTTAGTAGACACAGGTACTATCCATGGACACACTACTTTTGATATCTTTAAACTCATGAGATTTCAAGATATCAAAAGTGAATGAGATGTGACTTCTATCAATATTTAAAAGAAAATGGCTCCACAGTAAAAGATGAAGATTACTGTTGAGAGAATAAAACAGTTCTTGATCTATTTGATTGCATCTTTTTTTTTTTAATGCCTTTGAATTAGAATAATATTATTTACTTACTCATGCCTATGTATCCACAGGTAAGAAAGAGAAAACATGTGACAGAAAAAAAGAAGTTTTAACTATAGTTAATTTGAAATGATTATGAAAATACTAACAGGAACTAGACTTAAGCACTTAATAAGTATACCCAAAAAAGAAAATACATGGTTTTCTATTTTCTTTGTATTTACTCATTAGAATATTAGGTAATGGCATTTACTTGGTTATCTTACCACTTAAAATTATATCTAGCTATCCTGTAAACATAGGTAAAATTCACTTCTATAAAACATGAATGGTTTCACTCCTAAAATTTAAATAAGATTCTAAAAATTGCATCTATATTCTTCCTGAACAATAGGTCTGCACTGATTTATAAATAAGACACAGTATTCTTTGGAAGAAAGTAAGTATACAAATACTATACTCTTAATGACTATTACAGAGTAATTACTGAATCTACATGAAGTTATTATTCTTAAAGTTTTTCTAGGAAATGTCCTTTGATAGTTTTAAAAACATTTGTCTATAATTCATTTTTCTAGTAACTTATGATTAGAATCCCTGTAAAAAGTTTAGATAATTTAAAACTTGGTTAAAGATAATTAAATTGTAGAACTAATATGTCAATAATTTTTCAAATAAAAACAACCCTTAAGTGGTGCTATTTGAAAATTATCACCATTCAACTATATTGATTTCAGATGATGTTATTGTATACCTGCTTTCATTAAATAAAAATGGATATATAATTTCATATAAAACACACTTACGTTTATATCTCAATCTTTTTTTAGTTTCTAAACATTTTTGCTAGAGAAAGATGGTTAATCAAATCATATTGGCTCAATTCCTACATTCACCAATGAGACCATTGTTTTCAACTTTCCTATATTATTATTTTAGAAATAAGCATTAAAATGTTTTAATTTTAGCATTACACAACATTAATACAGTTAACATTTTAAAAACTATTCTTAATATAACCTTATGTAATTGTATTAATATGGCAAATAATATTGATGTTGAATGTTTAAAAATGGTTTTCCCATTGAAAGGTAAGGTTTACAGTATTCGAGGCTTGCTTTATTCCTACTAGTAAATGCTAAAAATGTAACTGTAGAATGTGTTTAAGAACCCCACTTGAACCAATTTCAGCTAATAAAAGGTTTTCTGTATTTAATTTTATCATATTCAACATTTTATAATATCTTTAGTTATTTTGCATCCAGAAAGTTACCCTTGAATTTTAAAAATATAGTCAAGTTAAAAATCTCCAGTCTTTAAAAGTCTCTTTCAAAAATAATGATTTAACAAATAGTATAGAGGAAATATTAACCTATTGTGCAATCTCTTTTGAGAAGAATATGATAAAATAATCTTCTAAAAGTGATTTGGATATTATAATATTTATTTTCTTTAATTCAGATTTCAGCTATTTCACTTTATCAATTGTAAAATAGTATGTTAGAAAAGTCTATGACTTTAGACAATAAATTATTTTATGTCACCAAGCAGAAGTTGGCTTTTGATACCAAATTGGGAATTACTATATTATGACAGTGCTGTAGTCTCATTTTCTATGACAATACTTCTTTCAGAATCTATTAGAGACTAAATATAATGCTCAAGCTTTTCATCTGCAAATGCCTCCTCATATTGAATACTTCTTTTCTCTGTCTCAGTTTTTAAAAACTTTCTTCGGTTATTTGTGTTTTAACTTCCTTGGGTTCTTAACAATTTTCTGTTTAAAAAAAAAATTAAGAAAGTAGACTGCAAATTGCATTTTCCACATCGAATTGAAACTAAATACTCACCACACGGCATCAGTGAAAACACATTTACTTCTAAAAGGCCCGTATAGTCCTACTTACATTGTGCTGTCCCCAACTTCTTCGTAGAGATGTGCGCCCGGAGGTGGCGGGCCTGGAGGGGCGGCTGCTGGGGCAGGAGCTGCTGGCTTGGGAGGGGGCATCGCAGCTGCGGCAGCTTGGAGGCGAGCTGTCTTGGTGCACTCGGCCTGGCGTCTTTAGTAAAGTAAGCATGTTTTTGTAAAACTATTTTAGAAACCATATGCTTAGCAAGAGGCTGACTCTTAACAAGAATGTACCGTTATCAGAGAAACTACCCAGTAAAACGAACAAAACTTTTATACAAGTCTTTGAACTTACAAACCGCTATAATTACAAAGGTATGCCCACAGGATAGTCACAAATACTCCCTCAGTGTTCTTGAAAATATTTACCCCTTGATAACAGGTTGAATTCATTTGAAATATCTGCAAAGTTAAATAACATTAAAGGGAGAGAGCAAAACATTTATGAGAATGTGATTGACAGTTGGTAGTTGTTTAATGGATCTCTTTCATAATGTGAGGCAGATAGAAGATATATAATTATGTTTTATTTTTCACTTATTAAGAATGATCTTACTTAAAATTATTTGAAATATTTTTGACATTAGTTTATAGAGGCTATGTAGGAGGGAGATTTGGTTAACTTCATGGTCGGCAAACTGCAGCTTGCGAGCCACATGTGGCTCTTTGGACCCTTGAGTGTGGCTCTTTCACAAAATATCACGGCCTGGGTGAGTCTATTTTGAAGAAGTGGCATTAGAAGAAGTTGAAAAAATTTGGCTCTCAAAAGAAATTTCAATCATTGTACTGTTGATATTTGGCTCTGTTGACTGAGTTTGCCGACCATTGGCTTACCTCTGATTCCTTTAGCTACGTAAGTAGGAAAGCCTGTCATTCTTGCATTAGAGCAAGGCTGCTCTTTTTCTCCATCCTGCACACTGATGCCTAATTCCTTCCTCAAAACCAAGATATCAAGAGTAGAAGCTATCCGAGCAAACTTTTTCACATTTCCCCCAGATACATCTAATTGTATAACCCCAGCTCAATTCTATGTATACAAACCACAAGGAAATTTGAGCTAAAAATCATATACCTACTGCAAATACAAAGCAGTCAAATGAAATATGGTTTGGGGCAGGTTGACTGCTTTAAAAGTATTCTTTGGGGCCTCTCTGTTCATGTTACATAAAATTATGAGCAATATATTAGTCATCATACTTACACTTTAAACCTGTTTGGGAAAGCAATAGGTAAGAAAAAAAGAGAGAAAATTGCATTAAAAATATTGCATTCATAATATTCTAATATTTGATTTATTCTAAATTATGAATAATTTACCGGTCAGACTGACACAGATTTAATGACATAGTACAGAAACTTTCAATTCAGAATTTGGTGAGCACTTTAATATTACTGTCATAGACGCATTAACTGTTAAAATATTTATTAGACAAAACAAAGAAATGAACTAAATTGAATGAGAAAAATTGTATTAAAATATGGGTTTGTGAATTTCAACTTCAATAGGGAAATATTAAAAATGATGTGATTTTTATAATCAGCTCCTTTCTTTACTGTGCCTGAAGATGGCAAAAGTAATAGAGAGAGTGGAGGAGTGAAGTCAGAGGAATAATGAGGTGAGGGATCCCCTTCATCTCTCCCCTTTAAGTTTCTGATAGATCCTCCCTTCCTCCAACTGATGGACAAACATAAACTCCACCTGCAGCTGGACATTCCTGAGCATTAAACCACCAAGCAGCACCTGCCAAATACCCTAAGCCCCTCCCCCTAAAAAGTGCTGTACCCTGGCCCTTGCTCTCTACAGCTCACTCTCTCTCTCTGGAAGCAGCTGGCAGTGGTACTCTTTTCAATAAAGCCTGTGTCCTGGCATCCTGGTCTCCGGCCCCTCTCTGTTTCATCTTTTAGTTTCAACAAAGAATTCCCTGCTTAACACACAAACACTTGAGACACCTGCACATTGAAACATAAAGATGGGCAACTGGGGGTGAACTGGAGAGGCAGCGAGGGAGAGGAGCTCAATCAGCCATGGATGCAGCCTTGCAGCATGGAGCTCACTGAGGCTAGGCCTGGAGAGGGGAGGAATCAGGCTGTGGCTGGCCCTCCCCTTCAGCTGGGCAGAGCAGAGAGATTTGGTGAGCATTCCTACAGGAGTGGACAGTGCTAGCTGCAGAGCCCGTGACCCAGGGAGAGAAGAAGCACATAAGTGTGGCCGCAGTTGTCTGAAAAGTGGCATTCCAGACAGGACAAAGCTATGAAAACTGGCCACCTCCCAGAGCTTTGCTCCCTTCACCCTCCGTGTCAGGATGCAGAGCACATTATCTGCCAACACCAGGACTGGTATACAGAAACACTTTCTCCCTAAGCGAAGGGCATAACCTTCAACTCATTCCAGGATCTGGTAGAGACACAGGGGTGATGACACAGGTTCATCGCCACTGCTAGGAAGGAAAAGCAGCAAAGGAGGTGCTGGGTTCCCCCATCTACCCCATCCATACCCACACACAATGGCTGTGCTGTTGACAGGATCTGGCTGCAAGGGACAGCACTCAGAGTTGATTTGGACCCTCATCACCCACTGCACTCCCCTGTGAGGCTGGGTCCCTAAGACCTGGGTGACTGTATCTCAGGAGAGGCACCCATTTTCCAGGGAACACATGTCATTTCCCACCATTTGACAGAGATCTGAACAGGCAGACAAGTGCAGAAACGTGTGGTTCAACATCATCTACTGAAAAACAATAGAAATATTGTTTATCAGTCTACTAGAGAAACGCCAATCAGACATAGGTGTCTAGATAGAGAAGGAACCCATCAAATTCCATGCATAACCAAAGTAAGAGGCAACTCATTAAGAAAATGAAAAATCTCCAGAAAATAAATTTAAAGACATGGAAATACATGCTTTAAATGACAGATGGCCTAATATGAGTCCTGAAAAAAACAAGATGCTAAAAGCAAACAAAAACAACCCCAGTCAGATGGGCAGTGTAATAAACTCAGAAGCAAAATCAATGAACAAAACAAGTATTTTTATCCATAATAAGCCAGAAATAAAGCACCTATGTATGTGGGCAAACAATTTTTTTTTACAAAGAAGCCAAAAATACAATGAGAAAAAGAAAGCCTCTTTAGTAAATGGCGCTGGGAAAATTGGAAAGCCAGATGCACAAAAATAAAAGTTTGTCTCTACGTACAAAAGTTAATCCAAAAGGTATCAAAGGCTTTTATATAAGATCTGAATAAGTTATTTGAGGGGAACATGGGATACTAAACTTATAAATCTTGATCTTAGAAAGACTTCATGAATTTGACCCCAAAGGCAAGGGAAGTAAAAGCGAAAGTAAATGAATGGGATTATATCAAACTAAAAAGCTGCTGCACAGCAAAAGAAACTTCCAATAAAACAAAAAGGCAGCCCACTGAATGGGAGATGATATTTGCAAACAACAACTGCAACAAGGCAGTGATATCCAATATATATAAAAGAACTCCTACAAACTTTCCAAACACTAACTCTAATTAAAAAATGGACAGACATGTCAAGACCGGTTTGGCTCAGTGGATAGAGCGTCGGCTTGGGGACTGAAGGGTTCCGGGTTCGATTCCGGTCAAGGGCATGTGCCTTGGTTGCAGGCATATCCCCGGTGGGGGGTGTGCAAGAGGCAGCTGATCGATGACTCTCTCTCATCGATGTTTCTGACTCTCTATCTCTCTCCCTTCCTCTCTGTACAAAATCAATAAAATATATTAAAAAAAAAAATGGACAGACAACTTGAACAGACACATCTCCCAAAACTATATGCAAATAGCCAACTGATACATAAAAAGGATGGTCAACCTCACTATCAGGGAAATGCAAATCAAAACTACAATGAGATACCATCTCACACCTCATAGAATGGCTATTCAACAAGACAATAGTGAGCATTGGAGAGGGTGTGGAGAAAAAGGAACCCTGGTGGGGGTGTAAACTGGTACAACCACAATGGAGGTTCCTAAAAAAATGAATAGAGGTACCATATGACCCAGCAACCCTCTTCTGGTTTGTATTTGAAAAATTTGAAAACATTTTTTTCACAAAGATATATGCACCCCTATATTCACTGCAGTGTTATTCACAGTGGCCTAGATATGAAAACCTTTAATAAATGATTGAATCAAGGAGGTATGGTACATATATGCAATTATTAAATGTGGTACAAATCTTCAAATGTAAGGCATCTTATTATTTTTTAAAATTTTCAGTCACTGAGTTTAATATCCAGTTTTTTGTTCACTGCACTGTGTGTCAAATAAAATGTTCTCAATGATGATATTGCTAGTAGGATATAACAAAGATCTTTTGGAAATAGTTGAATAAAACAAGGTAGCCACAATGTAAACTACATTTAACGTGATTATTAACATTTGGTTGACAGCTTAATAATTTAAAACAATTTAGCCAGTATTAAGTGTTTCATTGACTTTAAATATGGCGTAACAATTGATTTGTTAAGGATTCATGGAATTCTAATACGTATATCCACCTTAGCGTTAAGTTTGCTCTTCACATTACTTTTGTGATTAAAAATATCCTATAGCATCTTGGTGTTGAGCATACCTTTTAACATTAATATTGGAATGATCTTATCTATTTAACTCAAAAGAAAATTCTCAGTGTTGGAGAACAAAGACAATGGTAAAATAATACGTAAGGACTTTCCCTGTAGGAATTTTAAATGATGAATAACAGTTCTACCATTATTTCTTAGTGTTTGTTGTACCAGCAATTTATATGATGTATTACCCTTATTATTTTTATTTTATTTTGTGGCACCCTCTCTTCTTAACCCATTCCCCAACACTGCCACCGAACACTGAGCACCCACAAATACTCACTGCCTGTAGCTGACCAGGACCACCAGGACGGCAGGGATGCAGCAGAGGATGATGATGAAGGCCAGAGCCAGCAAGGCCCCTTCTGTGTAGCCCAGGCTTTCTCCTCGCTTCTTAATGCTGGTCACTGCCTCCGGCGTCCGGATCTCCAGGATGCGTCCTCCTTCCCCATAATGCGGTTGGAAGTCTTTATTGATATCCAGCAGTTTGCCATCCAAGAATCTTTATTGTTAAATATATAGTAAAATAGACAATATTAAAATAAAATCTCTTGCAGATCTTCTAATATTTTAAATGAAACATAAACTCAGAATCTTATGAATTAAAAAAAAACACACACACACATAAAAAGCCAAGAGAAATAAAAGTAATTACATATCTATGTACACATCAACATTATTAATAATAATGACCCTTAATAGGCTTACAGGCTCGGGAAAAGTCATTATCAATATCATTGAACTTATTATCACTATGTTGAGATAATCCACATTATGTTATTCTGGTGGAATCTATAATAATAAAAGTGTTATATGCTAATTAGATAGGACATCCTTCTGGAAGAAGCCGGGGCTGTGAGGGAAGCCTGGGTCCTGGGTGCCAGAGGGAAGCTGGTGCCAGCAGCCAGAGAAGGAAGGCCTACTCTTGCATGGATTTCATGCATCAGCCTCTAGTATTGTAATAAGCTGTTCTGTGTGTCTTTTGCCCCCCAAAATTCCTGGGGAACATTAAAATGGTCTCTTATAAATCCTGTAATATTAATGCAACATTTGTATCCTTCATACCATAAAACTATAACATGTCTTAGGCATTTTTCTTTTTGATTATTTTCATTAATAAAGGTCAACTGTCTTGCTATAGAACATTGGAAAATACAAAATATCTCAAAAAGCAACACTGTTCATAGGCCCACAATGCAAAGACAACCATAGCTAATGTTTTGGCATTCTCAAACCTAACCTTTTTTTTAAATAAGTATTAAGAACTATTTTTGTATCATTGTGATTTTACATAGAATATGCAAAGCAAAAATATTGATTTAGAAATATATTAATATCAAAATAGCATACTTTGGTTTAAAATGTGAAAAATACAAAGAAATGTGAAAAAATAAATGAAAATGGGTTCACATTTCACCATTAAATGGTAATCAAAGATGCCAAACTTGTATATTTTATACTTTTCAACACATTGTATTCTAATTTTCTTGGCGATTTTGCTGATTTTTAAATCTAGTTAATACATTGCTCAGAAAAAATCCATAGAAAAAAATAGGTGGCTGCCATCACATATGAATGCCATGGGGTAGCTTCTTAGTCTTTTCTACTTAATAAATCTAATGGACTAGATAATTCAATTTTAGTTTTAAACTACACCTATTTGTACTTATTTCCTTACTATAATATAAAGCAACTAGGATTTTTTTTTATAAATATGCTTTTGTAGATAAACAACATACTCTATAGCAACCTACCTAGGGTATTTTTTATACATGCTAAAATAATATAATAAAGGTTTAACTATTGCTGTAAGTACTAGAATGGGATAGAAAGCTAAAACTTTGTTTCAACCATTTATCAGAGAAAGTAATAAATTCCAAATAAAGTATAGACTTAGAGTTATTTCAAAGGAAACACTCTATTTATTAGAAATAGGAAGATCAGAAGGTAAGATCATTAAGTGCAAAGAAAATTCTACCCCTATTTTGCAGAATTCATTGAAAAAAATCACAATTCTGCCGAGACCGGTTTGGCTCAATGGATAGAGCGTCGGCTTGGGAACTGAAAGGTCCCAGGTTCTATTCCGGTCAAGGGCATGTACCTTGGTTGTGGGCATATCCCCCATAGTGGGTGTGCAAGAGGCAGCTGATTGATGACTCTCTCTCATTGATCTTTCTAACTCTCTATCCTTTATAGTCAGTAATTTTTATTTCTGTTTCAATGGTTTTAAAGCACACTTAGATACTTTTGAAGAACACTAGAGAGCCTTTTAATTGATTTCACCTGCACTAGAATAAAATCTCTTAGTTGTATTTCAGTTTTTAATTCTATGATAACTACTGCAATTTTTACCTCAAGGTTACCTGCATTTATCAGGTTGTATCTTAATTGACCTATAAATAGATTCTGATCTCTTCATGATTTTTAAATCTTTTCTTATCTTGTTGTTAATATGCTATGAACTTCTCATGCATATACTTCACGCTGCCAAATTATTTTTCAGATTATTTCTATTTTCCAGCAACGTTGAATCCAGAACTCTCAGAGGATTTTAGATTTTCACCCTGAAGTGGGGAAAGTAGGCCCAAGAAACTTCAGGCTGTTGTTTTATACTTTTTCTGATTTCAGGACTAAGAATTCTATTACCCCCTAAAACTATATTACCTCAGAATAAATAATTGGTTCTCCCCGGAATGTGAGCTAACCCAAACCCAGTCAGTGTGAGTGGAGGAATGGCTTAGTCCACTTGGCTTGTTATTGTAGAGGGTAGATTCTCTCCATTCTCTGCTGCAATTCTTTTAGCAGAAAGAGGGGAAGGGCTCAGGGCATGTAAAATGCATACACCATTTCACAATCTCCTACCATCTTGCTTTCCCCTAAAAATGTTAAATTGTTTCCAATGGTTCCAGTAGGAGAAATTTCCTGAGATCTATAGTCTCGGAGTCATCAGTATATAATTTGCTTTCCAGCATTTATTAACGATTCCATTTTTCCCTCTGCTTACTCATCTTAGAAAGTAAATAAATCTATCAAATTCAATAACCTGAAAAAATGTGACATTCTCTTTATTCTCATCCAGTTTACTTAGTTACTACTTAAAAGGGTGAGGCAAACACATCTCATCCCAGGATCTTGCCTATATTAATTGATCATTGCTGTGTTCCTAAGATAAGATAAATTTCTTCTGACTCAGTCCACTGATGGATCACATACCAACATGTGTTCCTTCTCCATTTACTTGTGTGGGACACATCTTTCAAAGTACCTTGTGTTCACCAGCCGTCTACCTGCATTTTACCATGATGGTGCTGGTGTTGTAATGTACATGTTGATAGAGAAATGAAAGGGAAGGTGAGTAGGAGAAGGTACTCTGTACTTCACAGAAACTCACACCTAAACAGCAGAGGGGCATTTCCCTAGTAGGTACACAATCTGGGTCTCTAAAACAGGTTTATAGAATGGACAATGGTACTTGGATAAGGTTGTTTTGCTTAATAAAGCAAGTCAGGTAGACCACTGTACAATACAAAATTATTTTAACTAGGTTCTAATAATTAGTTTTTAATCTAATTGAATTTTCAGTATTCTAAATTTAAGGTTATCTTTTTTTTTCTGGATTTAGGAAGCTGAAAGAAGCTTTATCAGAGTTTGATAATCAGATTCTATAATATTGATATTATAAAGTTTAAGTATGGTTTAACACTATATTTTAAACATGGTTTATAGGATACATAGGCTTTTTCTATCTTCTTCATCTTTCACTTACCATCTGGAGAGATTAGTGCTAGACAGTGTGGGAGTATAAGAAAGGCACAAGCTAAAACTATATGTGCTCTTTTAAAAACAATTAGTTTTATTTTAAAGTAATATAATCTATTCTGAATATAGTTTGTTTTAAATCTGTTCATCAACATAGTTTCATTGCTTCTATTTTAGAAACAATGAAATAGTGACTTAATACTATCTTAATTTTTAAATTTATGTGTTTTAATAAAATGGATATTTACTAAATAAATTCACCCACATATGAATATATATGCAAATCTGTATACCTAGATATTTCTGTATATGTTAGTATATATAAAGAAAGTAAATTCTGAAATTATGAATATTGAAACATGTATTTATGGACACACAGACCTAAAATAAGTGAATCTATACATATGATTATATATCAATATATATTTTTCAACTAAAAATGTGTTTCCATTTAGGTAAGAACTACATTTTAAGAATCTGTTGGACACTAGGTGTCACTAGATTAAAGCAGAAGTTAACATAAAAAAAAATATTAAACTGCTCTGAAATAACTCCCAAGGAAGAATATGCAGTAGCATTTTGCTTCAGATTCCATATTTTCTTTTGTTTTTAGGATTTATAACTCAAATATTCAAGTTCACAACAGGATAAAATATAACATAAGGTATGGCCTTAGATGAAAGTAATTAACTCCCCACCTCAAGTCAAGGGAAAAATCAGACACTAATTTTTGCTGGCTCAGTGAGATCTTGAAGAAAGCAAGATTTGTTCTCAAAATGTAAACCTACTGATAATGTCGAAGGCAAGTTGCCTCTTAAGAAAGAATCTGTACTTGCTTCCTAAACATCCGGGACCTTGGATGTGCACTGATCTCAATAAATGGCAGCTTGTTCATAAGTATAATGGACCTTCTGGTGGCCAAAAGGAAAAAAAAAAAATCTAAAGCTACTCTATCCCACACTTGGACCTGAAAACTGCCAGGTGTGAGGACCCTAGGTATTGTCTTGGAATATTTTTGCTTAGACTTCACTTTCAGCAACAGTTTGGTGGGTTTTAAACTTTAAGTACTTATAGCTTTAAATCAGGATTATCTATGGGTGATATTATAACTAGAAAACCAATATTGACAATAAAATTACTTACTTAAAAAGCTCTTTTCTGTCGATGGCTCTGTTGGTTTGAGGGTCGATTGCATAGACGGTCAAGTCGCTCTTGCTGTAATCTTCCAGAGAAAAGGCGTCTCCGTGCCGGCGAGCACCAATGGACTCCACCACAACTTTGGCACCAGGAATCTGCTCCTGAACATAGCGATCCAGAATCCTGTCCATCAAACAGAGTATGCACATGACATTCTGATAGGCTTTCGGGGGGTGGGGGGGGAATTAACTCTCAACTTGAAATGACATTTCACAAATGAAAAATGATGACAGCCTAGTTTTTTTTGCTAATGTTTACTGAATATGAACCCTTGAAAAAAAAATTCTCCATATTTTTCAGCATTTAATTCACAATGATGCTGGAAGCCACATAAGATAGAAGGAGGTCACCAACCATGTCCTATTTATGTCTTGGCTTTTTGAATTTATGATACCATTTGGAGCTTTTACTTAGCTCATGGGAAATGCCAACTGTATTGTACAAATAAAGCTGTCTATGCTTTATTGGAGCCACGGGTTTTTAGAACTCCAGAGTTCATATGGTTAATGTGGTCAACTACACTTCCCATAGGATTTTGTGATACAGAGCGCATAGCTATATGCTAAGGTACAGCACTAGGATACCTTTGTTCCTAAAGGCATGAAGATCCTTAGGGGATTATAGGAGTAGGAGAATGTAGAGCTATCTTGCTAAACCAAGCTTACCAGATTAAGATATAAATATTGCCTGGAAATATCAGAAGTTATTCAGGTGAATATAAACTAAAAGATATATCATTGGGTATGAAATCAGTAATATTCAATAGGAAAGATAAAATAAAGTTACCCTATAAGCAATTTTTTAGAAAATACACTTTAAAAAAATTACATAACTTGATGTTAATTGAAATTACAAATTCTTGCCATATAAGTATTTGTTTTTATGTTACCAAGAGTGGCAATTTCCTTAATGATCTTTTCCTTATTAAAAACTTTATATTACTAATCCTTATAGGTTAATACTAGCATGCATATTTTAAATATTAATACACATAAGTGTGAATTAATTTAATAACTATATATGACTAATATTTTAAAACAATATCTATAGATTCAACATCCCTTTTGGAGTTCATGCTCTAAGGCATTTTGGGGTAGGGAGGGGGAAATTTCTTAATTCCTTTGATACATCAGAAAATAACTTTTATTTCAGATGCCAAAATTGACCTGCTTTCTGTTCCATTAAAAAAAAATTGCCTAGAATTGGTTGTGTGCTTGATTTTCCCAATTAAAGGAACAACAAGATATTAAACTCCGGGAGAAATGGCTGTACCACTGAACACAAGCCTATGATGTGCACATTGCGGGGCATTGCCAATAATAGCGAAATGCTTTGTTTGTTGGTTTTAAAATTTGCATAAAACAGCATGGTTGAAGTTTCTCTTGGTGAAGTACTAGTCATTCTTTTCCTTTTGTCTCACCACCTCATACCTGGGGTCTCTCTGCCTCATGGTATCTTTGTCCTGTGAGGAGACTCTTACTAAAGAATAAGTAAAAGAAGACACGGGAACAAGTAAGAGAAGTAAATCCACTCATCAAATACTAGTTAGGAGTTGAATGCAACCTGCCTGGGAACTGGAAAGGAATGACTACAAGACTTGCACTAGTCTAATGTCATCCAGCCTGTTTCAGTGTTCTTTTCTTGAAGGCTTATGCTCACTTAAAAAAAAAAAAAAAAAAAAAAAAAAAAAAAAAAAGAGGACTTGAAGTCAAACCACACTATGCTCCTGATGTTTTATAGGAGGCACAGATAGCAATAACATAGTGATAAAGAGCACAGAGGTCTGACCTAAATTTTCAGCTCCTTATCAATAGCATAACCTTAGGCAAGTAATTTTCAGCTCTTAAACTCTTGTTTCCTTAAGTAAAAAATGAAGAAATCATCTATGGCATAGTACCATTATGTGCATTAAATGAGTGAAATATTTTACTCTGAAATCTATGCAGAGTTTTTAGCACAAAGTAATTGTTCCATACAATATAATACCATATTTTCCGGCATATAAGACAACCCCCCAATTTTATAGTTAAAGCATAGGTTTAGGCCTATATTCGCTGTATAAGACTACCCCCCACTTCCGAGGCAACACCAGTTCTTTTTTTAATAGACCGCCTCCCTGACTCTGGCCAATCTGAGCAAGCTTTTTACTAGAACACAGTGTAGCTTCAGGTACAGAACATGTACACTGTGTTCTAGTAAAAAGCCTGCTCAGATTGGCCAGAGTCAGGTACAGAACATGTACACTGTGTTCTAGTAAAAAGCCTGCTCAGATTGGCCAGAGTCAGGTACAGAACATGTACACTGTGTTCTAGTAAAAAGCCTGCTCAGATTGGCCAGAGTCAGAGAGTCGGTCTATTAAAAAATGAACTGGTGTTGCCTCAAAAGTGGGGGGTAGTCTTATACAGCGAATATAGGCCTAAACCTATGCTTTAACTGTAAAATTGGGGGGTTGTCTTATACACTGGAAAATACGGTAATTATTAAATTTAGTCTAATTTTTGCATTTATATGCTTCTCCCCTGTTTCTATTTCATCCCACTTTTAAAGATCATTCTTTGTTTAAAGGAAAACATAAAGGAGAGACATAAAGGAAAACAAAGTGTAGAGATCAATGTATGATGCTTTACTATCTTTCTTAAAGTGGGCATAGACATTCTTAAGAGGGTAGAAAATTTTTTTTTTTTTTCTTACAAAATTCAGGACGCTTCTTCCTATCATCTGTTGTGTTGAATATGGAGGACAAATTCCCCTCTGCTTCATCTCAGTTACCTTGAACTACCTGAATGGTTTCTTGGTGAATGAAGCCCAGTGTTTTGCACCTGAGGGGAAGTTTTTATGGTGGCTGTGGTATCACCACACTGTTAGAAAATATGGTGCTAAAGCTAGCTAACATCTCAAACAAAAGTAGGGTTATGCATGACCACTGGTTTCCATAAACACTGGTGAAACTTTAGGTCTTATAATGTGGAGAAAACTGCATTCCATTCCAATGCAAAAGGAGTAACAATAGGGACATATTTCTTAAATACAATATTCTGCAAAAGTTCCTGAAACATCATACATTTTCCACTGGGGCCCACACGTGTTCTAGTCTTCACATATACATGACCTTGACCTCTACCTGCTCCCCTGCACTGCATTGATTCTCCAGACTGCCCGAACAGTGGCTGCTAATCCATAAGTTCTCAAAACTAGTTGAACTCCAGCCAATCCTCTCCTACTAAAGCCCCATAAAACCTCTGCCTTCCTTCCCCAAGAGCCTTGGGAGACAACCCAAGCCTGGGATTTTCAAATACAAACTTGTGCTAATAGTGCTCTGAGTTATTCTCTTCTGCAATCTTTTAGTCACCTTCTCTCCCCCTCATATTGTATTTACAGAATAACAATTTTGGAGATATAACTAACATAATTTTGTTAAAAGATATTTTTATTCATTTCAGAGAGAAAAAGAGGAGAGAAATAGAAACATCAATGATGAGAATCATTGATTGCTGCACGCCCCTTATTGGGGATTGAGCCCATAACCCAGGCATGTGCCCCTGACCAGAATTGAATCTGGGACCCTTCAGTCAGCAGGCCAATGCTCTATCCACTAAACGAATCTGGCTAGGGCCCAAGCATAATTAAATAATAATAATAATAATAATAATAATAATAATAATGTGACGCCCAGACTTCGTGATCCCCAAGGACCACCAGGGAGCCGAGTCTGATGCAATAAACAAAAGAGCCTTTTCCATGCTAGCATGGGCTCCGTCCCACTCACGCCGGCAGCATGGCGGAAAAGAGCGAATTTCGCCCAGTCCAGGGGTTTTACTCCGGTCAGTGGTGATGTCACTGCCTCGGCTAACCCTGATTGGTTGGGTGAGGGCTAGGGATAACTCGGCCCTGCAGGGCGGAGTTGGGAGCTCATCCTCACCCCGCCCTGCCCTCTCAATAATAATAATGTAGGGCTCTGTTTTCGATTATGATAGGCATGGAGATCTATATTTTATACTATCATTATTGCTCTGTGGTTTAATACCTGCCATAGAAAGCATAGTATTTTAAGACCTCTGATAGAGTAATGCTCTAATTACATTCCTGGCAATATAAAATACATGTTCACACAATACTCCCTTTTATACTTGTCAATATTGAATTTTACTAATTCCTGTGCTCCTCAAAAATAGCAAGGGCTAAGAAGTGTCTCCCCCCACCCCCTTAGGTTCCAGGAAACTGCTTACTGTAAAGAGCCTTTCCCCCCCTGGCTCATAGAAGGCTAATAAACACTCCTGGAGACCCCTTTGTTTACCTAGGACAAAGCCAGTCACACATCCAGCAAATTCCCATTCTTTTCTGCAAAACTGATTAGTTGAATTTTTTGTCCTAGTAGATCAGTAGATCAATTAGAACAAAATTCTTGTTAACCTAACCCTAGTTAAGTCTCTCTGCTTCCTCCAAACCTCTAAACTTTGACCCCTGTTCCTTAGCCTGAAGCAGCATTCCACACCCCCCACCCAAAAGGCCCCTCCCATAGCAGTGAGGTCAAGGTAAGACATTGATCTGTGTGATCATCCTGCTTGCCCACACAGGTTTTTTCTAGCCTTGTTTACTCCTCCCTATAAAAGAAAAGCTCTTTTCTCCTAACCTTTAAGTGCTGGCAGGAGCTCTCCCTATTACAATAGTCTCCCTCCCCCAGGCTCCCCGATTAATCTCTTAAATAAAGCTTCTTTTCTTCTAAGTCCAGATTTGTTTTTGACATACGGTGCAAGTAGATAGCTAAAGGAAATTGTTTCTCATGCTCCCAGTGAAACCCAGGGTCCTCATAATTCTGAGTTTATTTGAACTATAGTTTTGAAACTATAATTTTTTTCTTTCTCTCCCTCAACACACTTCACTGATCTGACCTTAGGAACTCACCCTCTGACCCCTGTGGCAGCAGGTAGCCCCATTCTGATTGATGGTCACAGGAATTAGCCCCTGGCAGGCTAAAGATAAAGTCTTTTAAAAAATGTTTTTATTGACTTATGACAGAGGGAGAGAGAGAGAAACATCAATGGGAGAATCATTGATCAGCTGCCTCCTGCATACCCCCATACTGGGAAACAAGCCCACAGCCTGGACATATGCCTTGGCTGGGA